GGATTGTTGGCCCTGAAGACTGGATTGGACCCCTTGATCTGGCCGTTGCTATTGGGTTCATATAAGCCACTCAATTGTCCCACTTCCCCATGGTTCCTGACTGAGCGCACAGTCAACACAGATGAAGACCAGGCTGGAGAGGCGGCTGACGCAGGGGCCCCCCTAAATACTTCCTAACATATGTATTTATGTAGTGCTTTTACTTTTCCAAGTAGTTTCTCTACGCACCTTCATTTAACATGGGGGAAGCTGACAGCAATTCCATCCCATCAGGCAGAGATTGTGCCCCTTTAATGAATAAAACCCTAAACAATATTGACTCATTTTTATTTCTAAGATTAGCTGTGTTACTAGAGTGCTGCCTATTTTTATATTGTCTTTACCTCCTAAAATATTCCATTTATAATCATCCTTCAAAAATTTTAAATATTTCTTATCATCAAGGAATTTTCTGATGCAAACGAATTAGCTGATACACCCACGAGTATGGGTGGGTGCAACCCAGATCTTGCCACTTATGTACATTAATTAAGGGAAAGAAAATAACTTTTTTCTGCCCCTATTTTCTATTTAGACTAAAAGAAAAAGAAAAGTTTGTCATAGGATATTTATTTCTCAATACAATAACACTGTAGTTGTATTCTCTTATTGTTCAATGTCAATGTCCACTGTGGCACCTTGTTACTGCATGCAGGAACCAGCCAGGACACAGATTAAAGGTAGAAGCCTACAGGAGGTGGGCTTCCCATATCCCCGGGGAGAGCCCTGAGCAACCTCTGTCATGGCCTTTTATTGAAGCATTACACAACAGGTGTGGAGGCCCACTTACCAGGAGCTATGACTCCCACCCTACTGCACCACCAATGTCCAAAGTATAGCACCTGCTCGCTAAGCAACTGATCTTATCTCATTAAGGCATGGCAGTTGTTGGAGGGCTTGTCTCTAGGCAGCAAAGCATCTCCATACCAGCTAGGAGATTGTCTTGTTCCTATCGCTGCCTTCAAGAGTTGGTGGCACATTGTACCCCATGACTGCATTAATATACACAGCTATGATTTAATTAACAACAAAAAAAAGTTGATGGCTGCTTCTGTCAGCCTGGTGCTTGATCTCCTGCAGTTCAATATACCCTACCCTCTTGTGTACACTGTTAACCCATTTTAATATCTTTATATTTCACTTTCTAAATTTCTGATTTCTTACTATATGTTTATATTTAGGTTATCATCCTTTTATTATTAATCCAGGTCAAAGTTTTACTGATTTTTAAGTGATATAATTCTGGAACTCAAAAGATACAGTCTAAGTTTTATAAAACAGAGCATGCTTATCTGAACTCCTCATAATGTTTTTTTGTTTGTTTGTTTATTTTTTGAGACCAAGTTTAACTATGTCACCCTTGGTAATGTGCGATGAGGTCACAGCTCACAGCAATCTCAAACTCTTGGGCTTAAGCTATTCTCTTGCCTCAGGCTCCCAAGTAGCTAGGACTACAGGCACTCACCACCACACCCAGCTATTTTTTTGTTGTAGTTGTCATTGTTATTTAGCAGGCCTGGGCCGAGTTTGAACCCACCAGCCCCGGTGTAAGTGACCAGCACCCTAACCACTGAGCTACATGTGCCAACCCCTCATGATGTTTAGTAAGAGAATGCTTATCAAGGAGTAAACTGACTGTTTCCTTTTACCTCCATGACCCTGATACAAATATATAATCTGTACCTCCAGTTTAGCATAGTTTTCACTGCTTTAGAGAGGAATAAGAATGTGAGTTATAGGTTTTTCTTTTTAGTATATGTAAAGTAGTAAACAATGCATGTGAAAAACAGATACTTAATTTGTAGGTTTTTAAACATTATAAGGAGTTGTAGAATTGATTAAACTAATTTTGTTTTTTATTTTGTTAATATGGTATATTAGTTTGTTGATTTTCATATGTTGAACTAACCTGGCCTTCCTGGAATCATCTTTAGACAGATAAAATGTAGCAAATAGGGCCGGGCGGGCACAGTGGCTCACGCCTATAATCCTAGCACTCTGGAAGGTCAAGACTTGTGGATTGCCTGAGCTCACGGGTTGGATACCAACCTGAGCAAGAGCAAAACCCCATCTCTAAAAATAGGCCGGCATTGTGGCAAGTGCTTATAGTCCCAGCTACTTAGGAGACTCAGGCTAGAGAATAACTTGAGTCCAAGAGTTTGAGGTTGCTGTGAGCTGTGTCACCAGGGTACTCTACCCAGGGCAACAAAGTGAGACTCTAAAAAAATAAAATAAAATGTAGCAAGTAGTTGGCACTTTATAAATACCTGTTTACAAAAATTGAGAAGAAAAGGCAATAGTGTTAAACAAAATTGTTCCAGGTTTTAGGTTTGTATTTGAAAACAGCCAGTAACATAAAAGTATTTATTTAAACCAGATTAGGAAATGACTATTCACTGTAGCAAAACTTTAACAGATTGTTAAAGTATGTAGAGCCAGTACTATTATATGTATATAAACAGTGTGAAAAATCTGTAAATCAGGCTTGGCGCCTGTAGCTCAGTGGCTATGGCGCCAGCCGCATACAACAGAACTGGTGGGTTCGAACTAGTCTGGGCCTGCTAAAAAACAATGACAACTACAACAAAAATAGCCAGGCACTGTAGTGGGCACCTATAGTCCCAGCTACTTGGGAGGCTGAGGCAGAAGAATCACTTAAGCCCAAGAGTTTGAGGTTGCTGGGCATCACGGCACTCTACCCAGGGCGACATAGTGAAGACTCTGTCTCAAAAAAAAAATCTATAAATCAGAGCTGTCAAACATATGACAGGGTTCTTAGTAAACAGTTCTGTGCAACTGCGGTATGGACATACTCCGGTTGGAGGTTCAGGCTGATAGCCACTGGACCTAGATGGATCTTGAGATGGGAAGCCAATCGTATTTTACTTCCATAAAGGTTAGAAAAGGAGTCCCAGCAGAGAGAAGAGCTGTTCTATCTCATTGTAGATGATGGTGTAAGCTTTCAGGCTTGAAAGGAGCCTTATCTATAAAGCCATATGGTTTCAGGTGGCAAGTGGGAGCATCACACCTGAAAGTCAGTCTCCCCACTGCAGGCCTAGCCTTGTGTAAATGCAGCTACAGCAAGGCAGGACACAGCCCTGCCTTGATAGACACGAGACATACGTTGCATTCACACCAGACACACTTCATCAGTCTCAGAATTATACAGTGTGTAATATGACTGCTAGAGATTAGCACATGTATGCTACAGGGCAAGAACAAACCTACCCATGCTACAGGGACACAAATCATCACTGTGTACTATGGGGTACGAATACACCTGCCCATTCTACAGGGGCACGAACAAATCTGCCCATGTGTACTATGAGGCATGAACAGATCTGTCGTTTATTGTCCTCAGCATAGCATGGGTGGGGTGTATTTCTGAATGGAGTTACGTAAAACTAGATGAAAGTTTAGCTGTCCAGACATACCCAAGGGTCCTGGGTAGGCCTGAAATTAGCTATACAGATCTTTTTTCTTCTTTTTTTTTTTTTTAATTAAATCATAGCTGTGTACATTAATGCAATCATGGGGTATAGAGATCATCTAATCCTAGAAAATTCCTATGATGGAAATTTTATTAGAATCTTTTAAATACCACGTAAGAGCTCGGCGCCTATAGCTCAACCTGCTAAGGCGCCAGCCACGTACACCTAAGGTACTCTACCAAGGGTGATAGAGTGAGACTCTGTCTCTATAAAAAATAAAAGCACAGCCAAAATTAACTGCAGTTGATGCTGTACTACGCATTCTCTGATCACTGGGGCTGGGTTTTATTTATTTTTGTGTGTG